GCGTACTCAAACCTGGCAGACTGGAACAGTGGGACTGCATTAACGGGGGGCTCTGCTTATCAGCCCCCCGACAATTATTACCCATCATCCTCTGCAAAGGTCCAGCCTAAAGAGAGTGTGAGTTGACTGTTTAGTCTTTCTGATATCTTACTCTGTGGCGGAATGAAAAATAACAAAATATAAATATGTTTTAGGACGCTGAAAGAAGAGCCAGATTATTAGAAGAAGTTATAAAAAGCAAAGAGAAGGCTGAGAAGAAGCGAATTAAGAAACAGGTAGATGTATATATAAATAAATATAATGCATTTATGTCAGATGATATATTAGAAACTGAATTATCTGTGTTGCCCTGTAGAAACGTAAAGAAAGAAAACGGCTTGAGAAGTTGGAGAAGGAGAAACTGAACCCCGAAACAAACAAAGAGGTATTTATGACCCATGAGGTCAAATACAATCATAATCTTTATTATGTTTGAACAGATTCAGCAGGAGTTTGTCTCTTTTGGTTTCCAGGCAGGAGAAGCTGCACAGCAGAGCAAATCAGAGGGAAGCGCCGCAGGAAGTGAGGAATCCAAAAACAAGCCGCCGGCCGAAGCAAAAGACAGCGGCGGCGGCAGCAGCGGCAGCAGTGAGGAAGAGTCCAGCGATGAAGACACCAAGAAGGACCCCGCGGACTCTGAGGTACCACATCCTCGCCTCTATGGGATTGAGGTACAATTCGTTTTTATTCCACCCATTAAAAGTGGTCTCATGGTGACGAGTGTGTTTCTGCAGGAGCTGGACATGAGCAGCACGTTTGTGAGTAATGCTGCTCAGATCGCCAGGCGACAGCTGGAGCAGAATCCCCGCGCCGAGAGGAAGAGGAGGCCCCCCCCCACCACCACCACAGAGGAAGCTAAGAGCCCCCCTGAGAAACCTGAAGGAGCCCCAGAAGAAGACAAGAAGCAGGTGAAGAGAGGACCGAGCTTTATTACCGTATTTCTATATTATAATGCATTATTAGAATAACATTTACTCATCTGTGTGTGTCTGCAGGACTTTGCCCCCCCCCACTTTGGAAGATAATGTTAAAATCAGTACTGATCTCGCGGGTGAGTTTCGTTTTTCATGCATAAACCGATCCATTTGTTCATATATTATTATATGATATTCTGTGTTAATTCTTCCTGCACTTTCTCCCTTTTTCTCCAGTTATTGGCAATAAGTTTGCGAGTGCTGGAGACTTTAATATGGCTGTGAAGTATTTCACAGACGCAATTAAATACAACCCCACGGAGTTTAAGTAAGGACACACACTCTTACCACTCTCTCTTGTAATGCACCTATTTACAGGAACCGGTTTCTATTTAATTATAGAGGAATGTAAATGTTGATTCTGCTTATCAAGTCTTAAAGTCCTGTTAGCCTTGATACGGAAATCTTTGGTAAGTCTGCAGGAGAGCTAGCTAACGTTAGCTGTTAGCCTTCAGAGGCTGCATTGAGTTACAGTATGATGCGTTCAAGGGTCATCTTGTAAAAATGAGTTTTTGTCCAGAAAGTTGAATGAGCAGGATATGGAAATCGACTTGGTTAGTGGTTATTAAAACAATAAAGAGTGACTGGTCAGGAGTTAAAGTCCAGATGTTTGTGTGTCAGGCTGTTTGGGAACCGCTCGTTCTGCTTCGAGAAGTCTCAGCAGTTTGAGAAGGCGCTGGCAGACGCAGAGCTGTGCCTCAGCATGAACCCCGGCTGGGTCAAAGCTCACTTCAGGAGGGGGAGGGCGCTGGCTGGACTCAAGGTAAACACAGGGATCAATGCGGACACATGGAGGAAACATTTAGTTATATAAAACAAGGGAGACAGTAGTTCAGAGTTCTCCTCTTACTGCCCTTCTGGTTCCTCCTGCAGAGGTATGCGGAGGCGGCCGGAGCCTTCAGGGAGGTGCTGTCTCTGGACGGCTCGTGTGCAGAAGCAGCTCAGGAGCTGATGAGGGTGCAGATCACTCAGCTGATGGTGCGTCACACTCACACCTGACTTTATTCAAACATCCTCTTAGAGAAGGAGGTGGTGTATGACAGCTATTCTTGTTTGTTGTGTTGCAGGAGTATGGCTTCACTCGGGAGCAGAGCTCAAACGCTTTAATAATCCACGGCACGGTGGAGAAGGCTCTGGAGGTGCTGTCAGCTTTAAACCGTCCCCCAGGTGAGTGTCACGAGGAGGAGAAACTCCTCCTTCCAACACTAACTTCATGTGTTTTAAACATTGAAGCATATAACTACGTTATAGTTGAAATAATCCTAACAATCACCATATGTTTTTTCCAAGAGTTCTTCCTCATCCCCCACATTTTCCTTGCTTGTCTATCTCCCTTCAGCCATCACAAAGATCTCAGATCCATTAGCTTTACTCTCCGCCAATAGCATAACTCCTTCATGGGGGGCGGGGCATCTAGAGCAGTAGGGCTTCGCCTGATTGGCCAGACGTATTAACATGCAGAGAGTGACTGCATGGCACATGGAATAGGCTACTATTTATTGCAGTTCGAGCAGTCTTGCAATATGCATACCACAAATGTTGATATAACGTTTACAATAGATTTTTGATATGTTGTGCAGCCCTAATACATATATGTATGATCGTTCATTGTGTGTTTGTTACAGGAACTATTCAAGGTGTCCCCCTCAAACCGGCTCAACTTGTTAACATCAACGGAGTGTCTCCAGTCCTCTCTGCCAACATAAGCCCTGCTGCTCTTCCTCTTCTTCATCCTCCTGCTGCTCCTTTTCTCTATCCTGTTGCTCCTCATCCTCACAGTGCTCTACAATTATTAAAGAACAAACCTTTAGTCCAGAATATGTCCAACATCCAGAGTCAACAGAAGATCGTTCCTAACCAGGCGATGAAGAGCGGGGCTGAACAGTCAGTCATTATTGTTGTTATTATTATTATTTATTTATTTTTACTACACTTATTATTTTTTAAATATGACTTTTTGTATTTATTATATTATGATTATTTATAACTAGACTATTTTAATTATTATTAGTAGTATAACGTGTTGTATGTGTGTTTCACAGGGAGCTGTTTCCAGTGTGGGTGGGGAACCTGGTGTACCCATTGTCTGAGGCCATCCTCAGCAACATGTTTAACAAGTGAGAACATTACTCCTTTTCTCCTCCTGGTACTCCTTCCCTCTCTCCTCTGGTCACACCTCCTGACTCCTTCCTTCCTGTCTCCTGCTGCAGCGTGGGGCCGGTCCACAGTGTGAAGCTCCTCATTAACAAACGATGCGCCTTCGTTAACTATACCAAACGAGATCACTGTGATGAAGCAATCAGACGCCTGCATGTGAGTACTACTTCCTGGAAGTAGTTAAACTACACTTCATAGATACTGTCACTGTGAGGCGCACACCTTGTCACCCCCTGTGTCCTCCTGGAGGTCCGTGTGAGTGTTTCCGCTGTTTCTCCTGCTGAACAAACATGTTGTGTTGGTGTGTTCAGGGCTCTGATCTGAACGGCATGAAGATCGCTGTGCGCTATCCGGACCGCATCCCTCCAGGAATGGGGATCTCCAGATCTGCGCTGAAGGCTGAAGACCAGCAGGACGAGAACATGAGGCGAGTTCTTCCTCGTTCAAGAGTCAGCGTGTTAGCTTAGCATTAGACTGTTCATTGTGCACAAAGGCCACACTGGTCTTATTTGTATAATTGCTCTCACTGCCTGAATGGTAGACACAGGTTCACAATGCAAGTCTAACGAACTACGACATAAGCGTTTGAACATGAAGTGGGAAAAGGGGTGGGGCTACATAAGGTGAAAATGTCAAATATATAATAGTAAATATATATTCCCTCCTCTGTGTTTTACAGGCAGAGTGGGACTTTCTGGCCCTCCAGACCGGGCCCCGACTTCAGAGGCAGCCACAAGTTCTGACAGGAAACGCAACCCACTGCCCTTCACAATAAAAGCAGAACAATCTCTAGCATCTACAAGGTTTTCAAGCTTTGCCTCTTTTGAAGAGTTTTTTAAAAAGGAAAGTCGCTGGAAAATACTTCTACTGATGGGGAGATCATTTTATAATTCTCTAAAAAAGAGAATCAGGTATAAGTGAGATGATGGTATTAAGAAACGCTTCTTTATGCAAAGATTTAATCCAGCAGGAGAATCAGCCAAATTCTCTTATAATAATTATAATGTTTGAAAAATGTTTTATTCCTAAATGATTTTAGCATTAGGCCCCACAATCAGTATTACACCAGCCCTCCAAGAGACGTTTTATTATTCATTTTACAGTCATCCACCATTATTAATCATTAATGGGTGACGTTGACTTTACTCAGGTATTGTTGATTTGTCCGAGCCTAACTATTTTCACCATTATCTTTTTTTATTTACTATATGTTTTACCCTGCTATAAACATATTTAACACAGTATATTGCCTTATGGGTATTTGTATCCAAAGGATCACTCTGTGGTGATCGTGTGATTACTTTAGTTTATTCAGACGCCGTCATCATGAGTTTGTTCTTAATGCAAGAATTAAAGATTCTGTCATATTCTGTTTCCTGTCTGCTTATTTAACCACCAGTAGTATATTTCACAATCCATACTTACTTTTTCGTCTTTTAACTTTAATATGATTTTTAAGACGTACTATGCCATCAGTCCTTCCACACAGGTTTCTTATTTTGGATTTAAAAAACTAAGAGGCAGAATACATCTCTGTGTCTGACTGTTACTTGGATAATATATTAAATGAATAAAATATGAGTTTAAACTCATATATTTCTCCTGACAATAAACACAGGAGTTTCCTATGAGAGGCGGGGAGAATAAAATACTAAAGTATTTCTTTAGTGAAAAAGAAGATGAAATTATTTTTGACAACCCTTTTGTGAATATTAATAGTGACATAGCTAAATACAATTTGAGTTATGAGTTGAAGCACTATGGTTGAGTGAATGTGTTCCTGATGAGTCCAGCAGAGGGCAGCAGTGAGTCAGACAAAGCTGATCGAGTATGAGCTCGGAGCCAGGATCTACAATCAAATATCGATAACGCCTTGATTGTTGTGAGGATGTCAGACTGCAAGCAGATCGCCGCTCAGAAGAGGTAAAACTCTTTATAAATAATAACCTTGTCTATCTCTTAAATACTGATAATTCTGCAGACCGTTATTCTGTGTATCAATATACATATATTCTGTGTGAATATATTGTGTTGGCAATAATTATGTAATGTGTTAGCAGACTGTTATTCTGTGGGTATACTAACATGTATTCATTCTGTATACGAAAATGCCAGCAGACTGACTGTTGATCAGCTGTATTTATGTTTTTGTTTATGTATGTATATTTATTCTATGTACTAAGGTATTGTGATTTTAAATATTGTTCTCCCGCAGCGCTAAGATCGCAGCAGGAGCAGTGGTGTGTGTGGAGAGCGAGATCAGAGGAGATGTGACCATCGGTGAGTTTTATTATTATCATTATTATTATTATTATTATCATCATTTATTTACTCGGCATCCTCCATCACTCCTGCTGCTACTCCCTCAGGAGCCCGGACCGTGGTGCACCCCAAAGCCCGGATCATCGCGGAGGCGGGGCCCATCATCATCGGAGAGGGGAACCTGATCGAGGAGCAGGCGCTCATCATCAACAGGCAGGAGGAGAACACATACAATACATGTAATAAGAACATACTATTGTAACCTCATGTTTTATCTCCTCCTGTGTGCAGTTACCCGGAAAACCAGCTGCCGGACTCTGAGGGCGCGGAGCAGAAAACCATGACCATCGGGACCAACAATGTGTTTGAAGTGGGATGTGGTATCCTCTAAAGTGATATATAATATAATCTAATCTATAGCATCCTACTGAATATTGCAGTAATGTCTGAGTCAATGTCAGCTGAGAAGTAACAGAAAATATGAATTTCTATTGTTATTAATATCTATTTTGTCCAGCAGAGGGCGCTGTTGGTTCAGGTTTACTTTATAAATGAAGTCCTAAGTTTAAAATAAGATATGCAAACAGTGTACAAAAATGTTCATATGAAAGACAGTTTTAGAACAAAAAGTCATGTGATAATCAAACATTCAGTCTTTGAACATACATCTGTTGTATAATAGTGATTACATTTAAATCCTTCATGATGAGGATCAGTGTCTCAGGCCCTGAACATAGGAGACAACAACGTGATCGAGTCAAAGGGTGAGTACTGAAATCCCTCTCTGTGTACTTTGTATATACATATAAAAATGTATATAATACATAATCAGAGGTGTAAAGTAACTAAGTACATTTACTCAACTACTGTACTTTAGTACACTTTTGAGATACTACTTTACTTGAGTAGATTCATTTTATGCTACTTTGTACTTCTACTCCACTACAATTCAGAGGTAAATTGTGTACTTTTACTCCCCTGCATTTATTTAATACCTTTAGTTACTTTACAAATTCGTATTAATGATGTGAAATAATAATCAACACTAAGACTTTAAATACACCTGGAGTAAATTCACAAGCTACCTTGCAGTATACAAAGTGATTAAAACTAGCTGCCTCTTAACCACTTTGATAACACTTTAATGCATCACTATTTCAAAACATATCATATATATATTATTCTGAAATGGGTCAATCTGCATAACTAGTGCATTTTACTTTTGGTACTTTAATTACATTTTGATGCTGATACTTTTGTACTTTTTCTTGAGTAACCTTTTGACTGCAGGGCTCTAACTTGTACAGAGTATTCCTACACTCTGGAACTTTTACTCAAGGTCAAGATCTGAGTACTTCTCCCACCTCTGTATATAATATAAAAGTGTAACCTGTGTATGTGTCTAACTACTCCCCCTGCAGCTGACCTGGGCAGGAGGGTGGTGCTGAGCAGCGGCTGCATCGTGGGCGCCTGCTGCCAGCTCAACACCTGCGAGGTGGTGCCGGAGAACACGGTGGTGTACGGCTGTGGCACCAACCGCCGCCTGCAGAGCGAGAAGCCTCAGGTCAGTGCTGCACCTGCACCACCCACATAGCTGACGGAGGGTTGAGTTTATATACCTGAGGGTGGTGTTTCTGTGTTGCAGCCTCAGACTCTGCAGCTGGACTTCCTGATGAAGATCCTGCCAAACTACCACCATCTGAAGAAGACAGTGAGAGGAAACAGCACCACCCCTGTGAGGAACTGACTCCCCCTTCTTTACATCCACATGTGAGGATCTCACTCCACCCTCTTTACCTCCACCCGTGATAATCATTTTTCAGCAGTTTCTGCTTTTTCACTTCTTTTTCTGATCTATTTTAGACCTGACATTGTAAATCTCCTTGTTAATTAATTACATTTAAATGTCTTTATAATTGTTCTGGTAAAGATTGCAATAAATATTATCTTCATTTTTCAAATATATGTTGTTGTATTTGTATTATTTATAATAACTTTTAAATGTTATATATTTTACAAAATTAGTTAATATCTTTAATTCTTTCTAAATGATAATTGTATCAAGCACTCGTCAAATGTCATGCTAAGCAAGTTTCTTAAATTGAAGCTTTTATTTATTTATTCATTTATATATTTGGTATTTACATTACCTTAGTTTGACCACCAGGGGGGACTGTTGAGCTGCTGTCTGCTCTTAAGGTACACAATAACAGTTTAATTATTCGTATTATAAGTAAAGTAATTGTACACAGTCCCAGTTGTCATTGACCTCGGTGTGGTTACACTCCTCCAGCAGCATGGCCTGAATAATGCCAGGTACCCCCACAGTGTATTGCAGGTGGAGCTGGGTGCAGCATGCAGCTGCTGCACCCAGCTCCACCTGCTGTGGGGTCAGATATGGATGAGGGGGGCTAATTATTTGAGTAAGAGTGCAGCTGGGACCTCTCTACTATAACTTATTCACCTCCTCCTCCTCCTCCTCCTCCTCCTCCTCCTCCTCCTCCTCCTCCTCCTCCTCTCCTCCTCCTCCTCCTCCTCCTCCTCCTCCTCCTCCTCCTCCTCCTCCTCCTCCTCCTCCTCCTCCTCCTCCTCCTCCTCCTCCTCCTTTTGTTTAAAGTGGCGGAGGACAGATGCTGGGCACAGTTGCAGGATGTAGAGTGACGGTGGTCTCATGGGGGGGGGGGTCTTTTAGTCTACACCATGACTGTGATGATAGCAGCTCATAACATAAATGCTTGTCTATATTTGGACACAGTTATCACCCCCCCCCCCCCCCAAGTGTTGTGAAACTCAATCACTGCAGCACTTTGTTAGTGCCAACATCCTCTCAGCATTCTGCCTTTAATACAGTCAGTTATCTTAAAGACAAAGATCCTGAGTGAACATTCATAAATATAAATACATATATCTGGGTAGAGACTCGATCAGCTAGGTTTGGAGCTCCACCCTCTCCACCATATATACAGTCTATGCTCTCCACCCTTTAGTAGCAGTTGGGTAAGGCTTAGTGACAGCTGACCTTTGCCTGCAGGTCCGCTCCATCTTTACAGAGTGATGAGTGACCTATAGGTGCAGTCACCTCCTCTGCAGACCACAGGAACCATTAATCTCATCACAACAGGGACTCTGTGGTCCCCTCTGAAACAGACCAGCAGCTGGAGACTGACACAGACCCCCCCCCCCCCCCCCCCCCCCCCCCTCTTCCTGCACCACCACCAGCTCCACTCCACTGTGGTGCTTAACATACAAGCATCCTCTTATTTTACTTTAGGGTTCCCAGCGAAATTGGCCCTATCCTGCTTATTGTGGTTTTCACACACACGCCCCCCCCCTGCCTGCAATGCCTCCATTGGAACCCTTTGTTTACTTCCAAAACATGCTGACATCAATACTTAACACTTGCGCTTCTATTGGCTAGCGCTGCAACACATTGTACGTTATGGGCTAAGGGGCGGGACATCTATAAGCGGTTGACCAATCACAACACAGTCGGCCAGCTAACCAATCAGAGCAGACTGGGCTCTGGTTTCAGACAGAGGGTGAAAAGAGGTGATGCAGCACAGGCAGTATGAGAAAAAAAAAGACCTTTTTGAACATCAAAGCATGGAAACATGTCACAGGAGAAGCACAGAATGCTAATATCATCCAAAACGTGTCACACACAGAATGCAAGGCCAGCATGTGTATTATAAGTCATCTTTTGTTCCTTTACTGCACACCATAAACACTAAAAGATAACAGTAATAGATGGAGATGTACCCTCAGAGCAGTAAAGGTCAGAGAGGTTTATTGTGTGATAAAAACTGAAGGACTCAGGTTTTCAGTTTTTATTGGATCCACTGCACAACACAGAGAGAATGTAACTTCACCTAGTTCCTCTACACGGCTTTAAGACATGTCAGCAGTTTAGAGGAATATTATAGACCTTTACACACACTGAGTCCAGGTTTAAACTCAGGTTAGCACACATGCTATGCACCAGTTTCCCCAAAACACACCGATACCGCCACAGAGTTCTTCCTCCTTCTCCTAGCTAGCAGCCGCTCCTCATTTAACTCAAACCTTCAATCTTCCTCACACACCTGTCTCCTCAGTCTGAGCCTTTTTCTTCTCATTGTCCAGCTCATCTGCATTATCTGACAGTGCACAGAACATAAAGATATAAGGTTAAACAAAGATGCTATAAGTAGCTTTGTTGAAGATGACGCAGGCCAGACATGTGATCATGTGCATGTTGATGCTAAGCTAACATGTTGAGGCTAGCTTCATATTTAGCCTGCAGACATGAGAAACTGTTGAAGTGAGCGCAAACAAGATGGAGAAGTGGGTGGGGAAGTGTTTTCAGGGTATCGTTTTCGACTTTACTAGCTTATCTTTGTGCTAAGCTAACCCACTGCAGGTTAGCTTTATTTTAAGCCTACAGATACGAGATAACTGTCTCTGTTATTCGTTGAAACTAAAATAACTCCCTGCAGCATTTTATCTGCATGTTTATCTGGTTACTCTCTGATAACACAGAGACGTCTCCTTCATGTGGGGGGGGGGGGGGGGGCACTCAGAGCCATGAGATGTTACAGGACAGCGTGACCAGACTGTCTCCTAGCCACACACACACACACACACACACACACACACACACACACACACACACACACACACACACACACACACACACCACACAGAGAGAGGGGGGGGGGGCTCCCTCTCTTAGCATCAGACCACACAGAGACCTGTCAAACACAGCTGGGATATCTCCCCGTCTCCTCCCCTCCCATCTCCTCCCCTCCCATCTCCTCCCCTTCCATCTCCCCCTTCCCCAGACTCCAGCAGCAGCTTTGATTCCTGCTTGTCGAGAAGCAAGGGGAGCATTTCCATTTGTATCTCCTTGCAGAGCTCCTTCAGATGTATCTGTGATGGATGTAGACGTGATCTGAGGGGAGGGGGGCATCACTGCTTTTCCTTCTTTTGTTGTTTTGAGGTGCATGCTCAGCAGAAATGACTGCCCGGCTGTCACATACTGCGAGTGTGTGTCCGCTGCACTGAGCGTCAGAGAGGAAGCTGCTGGAGTGTACCGTCTGAGCCGCAGACCGCCATAGGCGTGGAGGGTTTCAGACGGCACTCCCCTTGCTCCAGGCTTCCCCCCCCCCCCACAGGTCATAAATCAGTCCGGATCAGTTACCACCTACAAATGTTGAGCAACGCGCAGGTGTTGTCTTCTGATCTTCTCTGTAAATACACACACACAGTCCTGTTGATAATTGTCCACACACATGATGCATCATGCTGAAACTCTCCTGAGTGTGCACACTAACACATCACATGATGCAGCCGAGGGTCACACAGGCAACAGGTAATAATCTACAAGAAGATCTAAAAGAAGAAGCATTCATAGAAAACAACGGTATACTATGTCATTCGAATGTGGAAAAATTACACAAACTGTGTTATACATCTTGTGGAGTTGTGTAATTACTTAATGTCTCTGTTTCTTATTGTTTATATGGTGGCCGACAGGTGATAACCATAGACTGGTGATAACGCGCTGCATCTTCAGAAACGATGCAAATAAAAAAACACAAATGTGCCAAAACACAGGCGAATGAAGAAACATCTTCACCAACTTGACAAAACATGCGCAGCATTTACTAAAAGTGCTGCAAATACAAAATGCTGGAAGAGGCGTAAACAAAACGGAAACCAGGGGACACTAAAAAGTGACACACACAGCTGGGACCGGAGCACTTGTTGACCTTCGGGGATTACAATGATGGCCAACTGTCTCTTTTGGAAGAGTTAGTCCGTTTTCATAATTGTAAGTGTTTTATTTCCGTATATCTGAAATGTCAAGGTTAGCTTGGTAAGCTAGCTAGTTTACAGCAGATCTGCAATTATTTCGGAAGTAATAATGCGATCCCATTGTTAAAATAAGCCGATAAAACCAACATTTTAGAGAAGTTTCCAACAACCGTGTCATCCACTGTAGTTTGAAGCACAAAATGAAATATTGTCCTTTAAAGGTCTCCTATTATACTGTTTTTCATCAATAGGTCTCAGATATATACAAACCATGGCTCGAAATACCAAACAGATCACAATAATCCCCTCTATTTCAGCCCTGTTTCAAAAGCGCTGATTCTCTGTCTGTTACTTTAGATGAAAACAAGGAGCCCCTCCCCACGCCCCTCTGAGAGAGATTTGGTTAAAAAGAACACAATGGTGCTCTAGGAGGAGATTCAGACGATAAGGTGGAGGGGGTTACCTTGGTTGGTGATTGGCTAATGGTTACACAATCCAAAAAATCGTTATGACATCATAAAGTGGCCAAAATCTGATCAGCTCATTTTCAGACAGGTTTTATAGAAATCAGGACAAAAAGTGAGCAAATGTTCCTGAAACTTTCAGAATCTCTTTACACAGAGGGGACACATGTCATGTTTATGTATATAAAAGACAGGAAAAAGTGGATTTTGCTAGGTGACCTTTAAGTGAGAGATTCCAATATAATTTTAAATGTCACAATGTAATGTTTTTGTCAGGGTAACCAGCAATGTTTTGTTTATTCCACCTTGAACATTTTACTAATGTGTTTGCAATCACACTTTTCTATTGACAGTGACAGTGACTGTGTCTGTCAATGAGAATACCTGTTTAAATGAACGCACATGTAAAATCAGCTGAATACAGACACATTAGTAATATTTAGACTAAAAATAGGAATATTAAAGCAGCTGCTGTTAGAGAAATATTGTAGGAATGTTGCAGAGACTAAAATAACACGCATTGCTATTACAGCGTTTATAAACCTGATAGAGCAGCAGCAGCAGACCGTGCATCTACACCCTAACCCCACCCTAAACCCCTCCCTCCTCCTCCTTGTCCTCCTCCTCAGCTGGGAGAAGTTTGCAGCAGTCTAACAGCAGCGTGTTTCACTGAGAGCAGCAGAGCAAGAGGAGAAGCTTTCTGTCTGATTTTACTCGCAGCTTCAGATTTTACTTTGAATCCGTGTCGTCACTGATGTCGCGTAACTAGCAGCTGCAAGCGGACTGAAGTCTGTCGGAGGTACTGGAAACCTGCAGCGGGAGGAAGAGGAGCAGAGGAAAACTGACTGAAGAAGAAGAAGACAGTCCCGTTGATAAAGTCGTCAGGATGAGCAACAACAAAAGCGAGAAGGAGACCGAGCCGAGTGAGTTCACCAACCACGAGGAAGAGGTACGATCCGCACGCGACTCCTACATTAATCATTACTCCATCACTAAAATACTCCTAAATAGCCTACTCTAATTTGCTGGTAAACCTGTCAAGAGTTATACTTAGTATTATTATAAGGCTAGGGCTCATAAAGGCACTCTTTCATACTTTAAAATATGTGCACCTTTCATACTTTAAAATATGTGCACCTTTCATTTATTATAAAAATATAGGCTTTTTATTTCGCCTTTAATCTTTGTGACCTGCCTCATATTGTATGTCCTTTTTTATTCTGAAAAAACAGCAGTCTGAACCCGAAAATACCTAAAGTGTTATTTTAGGAGTGTGCAGTATGGGTCCCCAGCAATAAGAAACTGCCGGATGCTAATTTAAATGTGTTGGGCAATTAGCATAAATTGCGTTAATTATCAGTATTTAGAATTAGGGTCCAATAGTCAAAAAAATTGCCAATCTTTACCGTTCTGGAGTGATTTGGGGGGTTATTGAGGATGCTGAATCAATTTCCGTACTTTTCAGGATAAAAAATGGCAGTTGAAAACAGAAAATTGCCATAATTGTACTCCTGGCTGATTCTGAGTCATTCTGGGTCGATTTCTAAGTTTTAGGGGATGCGGAACATTTTGTTTTGGACAAATATCTTATATTTTTGGAATAGGTTTACTTCAAAGCAGTTAAAAGTGGTAGAATATCTGCAACAATGAATCGACCGATGCAGAAAATGTACATCTAATTTGCAGACCAATACAAGAACTGAGTTGAACATTTGATATTGGAGATAACAAAGGCAAGTATACCAACTGAAGATGTATGCAGGATAAAGAGAGGACTGGTGATAGATGAATCCATTCTAATGAATCTTAATGCGTGTCTCTCACACATACACACACACACACACACACACACACACACACACGCACACACACACACACTAAAATAAAGTGTTCAGAGTGAGTTTCACACAGCTGCTGCCCCCCCTCATTACAGATCATCTCAGTGAGTGACATCTTCACACAGCCAACGATGTTTGTGCAAAACACCAATTCCTCCAACATGCTGCACAGTTGTTGTGTAGTCTTTGTCCTTTTCTCTGGGTGTGTTTGTAGTTCCCCTCTCATGTGCAGCCCGGTGTTGTCAGAAAGGCATATGAGATTAAGTCTGATATTTCTCTTGGAGAATTAGATTAGGCTCAGTGCATGTGGTCACTGTGTAACTGAATACCCAAACACAGCGGCTGATGTAACTGCACATTCACTGAGAAAAGGCCGTGCTGCAGATACACACTGACTGTATTCACTTTATACACTGCACTCTTTAGGGTTTCACATTCTGGATGAATAATAATTGTTGTACATGTTTTGTGTACCTCTGAATTCACCGTATGAAGCCCCGCTCCTTTCCCCACTCCCTGTTCAAACGCCTATACATGTTACGCTTATTAAAGATGTATACATTTGGCGACGTAAGTAATTACACTTGAACCGGAAGTATCAACACATTATACAGCCATGTGAAACCGCCCTAGAGCCGGTGAAGCATAAGGTGAATCGAGACTGATGTCCGGAGTTAAATCTCCTCAGCCTGTTTCTCTGCTTTGCCTCACACCATCACAGTTAATCTGGTGAGGAACATAATCTCCAAACATGGACCTGCAACACAGCAGGTATGCCGCTCCAGCAGCTACCCTAGTGATAAGCTTCATTATCAGGTGTTCTGGTCCTTTATTATCAGGTGTTCTGGTTCTTATGCAGTGCCGCTGACATGCTGCCCCTCACATGCTGGACGTCAGATGTTTCCAGGCCTTTTAAGGAGCCGGGCTGCGGGCTCTTCAGAGCACATTTCTGACCTCTTCAGTTCAGTGTTTTCATAATGACGGAGAGAGGGGACGTGCTCCTGCTATCAGGAACAAGCACAGTCCAACTTAAACTAATCACATCAACACTTCATCTTGTTATGCGGGAGACATTTTAACAGTCCCCGCTTATACAGTCTGAGGACTGTTTTCTAATTAAATACTGACTGCTATCAGTATTAGTGGCACTCATCCTGTACCAGCAGCAGTGTTATTAGTTTGTGATCACTTCAAGCCCACTTTGTGTTAAGCGGTGCAGGTGGTGAGCTTGTGGTATGCGTCTCGGCTCATCGCAATGTGACCTTTGACCTCCTCTCTGTCAGGCTAACTGCTGTGTGTTTAAGGAGCGCCAGCAGGTCCACCTGAGTTTTGACAAATGAGGGAACACAGAGGGTTGAGCCTCTCTGTTCTTCTGCAAGCAGTGTGTTGACTCCATAAACATGTAAGTGGATCTTTACAAGCGCACGGAGAGAATCCGAGTATCACTCGTGCAGAGCTTAGCGAGTCTCCCGCGGTGTATCTGGACTGTGTCTACAGCAGGTCCTCTTCAAATCGCAGGTCATGTGTCCAGCGTGACCTTCTCCACCCGGAGACGTGGGTGGAGGAGCTGTGGTGCATCGGGCAGTGGCACGTATCTCTGAAAAGGGCACGCAGAAATATTAACGCTGTGTGACAGGAGATGCTATGAGAGGGGAAAGTGGCCATGATAGGAAAACATACAAAGACTGGTGTAGAGTCTAGACAGTGAGAATATAAAGGCGCATTACACATTGAATAAAGCAGCGGCTCTGTGTCTGATAGGTAGCAGGTTATTTATAAAAGCGTCTTATCTTGGCCATTTGTCAGCTGCGCGACAAGAGGTATTTGAAAAGGCAACAACAAGGCTTAGCGTCAGGAGCGGCTGCTCGCTGATGTGAGGAGAATGAAGGAGAATTTAAATATCTACAGCTATATATATAAATATATATTTATTTAAAAGTGTCCAAGTCTCCTTAAAAGGCTTTGTTGTTAGTTTGTTTGTAATAATGTGTCAGCCATCTTGTCTTTATCTTCTGTCCACTCCACTTAATATTGCTTACTCACAGCTATAATTATCCACCTTCTTTTTCACAAAGAATGTCTCTAACTCATCTCGTTGTACACTTTAATCTCCCTCCCCTCCGTTTCCTCCTTCCTCCCCTCCACCCTCTTTCTGCCCTCTCTTTATCTGGTTTCCTCCCTCCTTCCTCCACCCGGCTGCTGTTTATAGTCTGCCTCTCTCCTCTCTTTAGTCCCAGTAGACTGACTCCTTCTCCTTATGGTCCATACGTTGACAGCATGATGCCAAGGTCTGTTAACAGAAGGACCTTATATGGTCATAGGAAGAGTGTCAAGACAGGAGCAAGGAACAAAGAGAAACTGTTCGTGTCCGACTGTCCAATCGTTTCACGGCGGTCAGAGGCAGCGCAGCAGATAAAATATTAAACATGGAAACTTAGAGTGAAGACAGTCCTGTATCCTAAATGTTGAAATTATAAGGTGTTATCATCCGTTATGACAATGGCTAATCTAATATGATTTTGGGCCATTGTCATTGTCTATCTATCTATCAAGCTAGCTAAATATGTTTCTATCCACCTCCCTAGTTAGCTACCCATCTAACAAGCTAGCTTCTGAATGTTAGCTATCTAGCTAGCTTTTTCAATATTTCTGGATCTAATCATTTAAATGGGAAATATTTTTTAAAACCCTATGGTTAGACTTGCAGTGCGGACCTGTCTCTACCGTTCAGGCAGTGAAAGTAATTATAAAAACATGGTTGACGTCTTTTTTAACAAACCGGGTATTCTCATACGTCCAGCAGCTCCTCAGCTCAAAACATCGCTGTAAATTCTCATATTCTCAAACATTGTTGCGATTAAGTAATCGCATATTGATCATTAAAACAGTTAGCTTCTCACCTTAAAAACTGTTAATAACTTAATTATAGTTAATTCAAAAGCTTTAAAAGGTTTATTGGGCAAGTTGATAAAGTTGGAGATGCTATGCTAAGCAATAGCAATTCCCTTTAACTGGAAGGACTAACACATAATAAGACAATGCGGAAGCTCGTGTGCATATGAATCTGTATTTGTATTTGAAAGAGGCAGATTGAGTAGTAAACATTGTCAGACAGGAAATATATTGTCTCTGTAGTTAAAGTGCAGTCACTGATGCAGCAGGTCACATGACGGGTTCATGCACTCTCCATCTCATGTTTTTGTCTCCACTTTACCGCTCTGCCAACCCAACCTGAAGAGCAAACAGTGGAAGGTGTCCACTTGGGCAGGAGCCAACAAAGGCAGTGAAGGAGGGGCTCAGTTAATGAGTCTGTGGAGGAATGTGAGTCCTTCATGGAGACGCACCGAAGCACACACACAGGAGGAAGAGTTGAACTCTATGTCATACATGTGACTCCTAAAGAGCACATGTGTGTGAGTAACACACAGGATGAAGGAGAAAGGCAGTGAAGTGCTCCTCAGAGGTCATTTGTTGAAATGTCTCTTAAAGGTTAACCTGTTGGAACATTAACTGAGCTGTAGCAGTTCAGTCGTGACGTTTGGAGTGTGTTCAGCCTCTCAGGTGACCTCTCACCTGCACACTAACCTGTGACCCCGCAGGTCTAACATGACTGCAGAGATTAACACACCTCTGCAGTGTGTCGTTCTGAGAGGATGATGGAGAGCCATGTCAGTCCACGGTTTTAATAACGCAGAGCCAACTCATGCAGGAACAAAGAGAGGCCAACGCTAGTAGAAATGTAGCTCTGAGCTCTGCTACGTGTACATCTTTGTTTCCCTCTGCAACGCTACAGTAGACTCCTCTACTGTTCAAGGTCAGAGCTGCATCCATCACACACACTCGGGAGGAGGAACTACACAGTAATCATCTCACGGTACTCCAAGGTCGCGTCCCTCATCCCAGCCCAGACTAGCGGTCAAAATAACGCTCCGTTAAAGTAGCAGCAGATATCTAAGAGAGTCACACATAGCGGCGCAACGTAATGAGGCTTTTCAGGAAAAAGGTTTAACACATTTACACATGCTGAATACAAACGACACATGAATAAGGACCAAGGCCATTTTATTAATCAAGAGACACAGTGCATTCTGTGATGGAGAAAATGGACATTTTTGTGAGTCTTGATTTTTTTTAAATATAAATGGTATTGGTTGCTTGGTTCCCTTAGAGTTTCAGACAGCAGTAAGACAACCAGTTAAAAAAACTCCGACTTTTTGGGAGGTGTAAACAAAGGGAACAGTTTAATAATGACGGCAATAGTTTGTTGTAACAGGCAGGCTGGATTTCAGTTTATTGCTGAGGGATTATTGCTCTGGTTTAAAGGGCCTATTGTGCTCATTTTGATATTAGTATTTAGTGCCTCTGCTGTGACGTGTTTCCATGCTTTAATGTTCAAAAAGCTTTTTTCTTTCTCATACTGCCTCTGTTGTTATTGGTCAACTGTTAAGCGATTTCCCACCCCTTAGCCTATCACGTACAATGTGTTATTTTATTCTGGGAACATCCATTACTGGTCAGTGTGTGTGTAATCGGTTAATAAAACAATTCTACATCTTTATTTGAATTTGGGTTAAGCCGAAATTCTATAGAAACAGAAGGGCATCTGATAGAGAGCTGGTGGAGTAAAGGTGGGTCTGTGGGTGGAGGTGCATTGATCTCCTGGGCCTGGCTGCAGCAGTGGCTCTAATAGGAAGTGATGTCTGTGGCCGGGGGCTCCGTGCCCCGCTGCACCCCGCTCAGGCGTTGCCAGGGAACTGCACGCTGCCTGTTGCTGCTTCTGATCCTGCTGTGTGTGTGAGCGCACGCCATACATGGTCAATGATTCAGTGGGTTTTCAGCACTTTGGAGATGAAGGTATGTGACTCACGAGGAAGCAGTAAAACCAATATCTCCTAAAAGCCAATAAAGCAGAGCGACCTTCAGGAAACTTCACTACAGCAGGAGTGTGTTACTTACACACTTAAACACTAGTGTGTCACAACAAATGACGTCAGGAAGTGTCCCATTGTTCAGTCTGCAGAGGTTGAATCAGAGTTTGTCTGAGATGACTTCAGATGTTGTGTGTGAGGAAACGCTGGAACCACGTCATGTAGAAACACTCCACATGTCATGACTGTAATGTGATCTACAGTCGGAGCCAACACACTTTAACACTGCCTGTGTTTTCTGCACATTTTAAACATTTTTCTTTATATGAAATAGATTTGCTCTGCTGTCAGTGTGTGATTGAGGTGAGGTAATAGTGAAGGTGGGGGTCTGCCCCCCCCCTCTCAGTTGCTAAGATGTTATGTGTGTTTGTATGGAGTCAGATTACCTGTGGGAATGAGGCGTGCTGTTAGCTCAGCAGCTCTGTGTGTACCGGCTGTCTAATAAATCTGCTGTGTGTAATCATACCTGCTCTTTATTCTATATTCAGTCGTAAACACATGTTTACAACACACTGTGTCATTATTGTGAGGATGTCTAACTGCGCACAGCCTGCACCAAGCCAACTTCAGTCAGGTGATGTGTATGAGGTTTGATTAGTGGCTTTTTATTTTTCGCTTACATGGAATGGGAACCGCGGTGCATTCTGGGGCTGTACAGGTTAAGTCAACGGGTTGCAGTCGCTGGTTTCCTCCAAAGATGGGCGACTTGCTGTTGATGACATCATATTCCCATAAACTATCAGAGAAAGTAGATTAAAGAAATAGATATTTGTTAATTAGTGAGATTAATAGGAGTTTTGTTACCTTCAGACATTCATGATAGTGTAACTGTATTTTTAACTGGGGCAGGAAGTCTCCATTACTTTCCTGTCTTACTTTATTTCTTAATTTTATATTCTAGCTCAGTGCCATTGACATCTTTATATTTTCAACTTTATTTGTAGAGTTCACTTTCAGGTTGTACTTTACATATGCAGTTTAAAATAAAAATGAAAGTAATGAATGCAGGTGTTACTTAGAGTTTACTTGTATTCATCAACACATGATGATAACTTATATACTACTCCCTATGTGGTTTCCTTCTTCAGTCTGTTCAAACACACTCTCAGTGACTCCCTAGCATGGCTCCATCTGAGAGTTGAACAGTTGAGATGTGATGCTGAGTTTAGAGACCGTATTCTCACCTGCTCTGTGTCTGCAGGTAGCTATTAATACCTGAGTAGGTCAATGACTCGCTCTGCTTCTGCTCTTCCTCAGGTCCGGACGCTCTTCGTCAGTGGGCTGCCGCTGGATATCAAGCCTCGCGAGCTCTACCTCCTCTTCAGACCTTTTAAGGTATGTTTGTATTTTCTTCGCTATTCTTAGAAGCTCCTCTCTGCATGGACTCCATGAATGGTGAGGAAACATGGCAGAGCTGCAAGTGCTCCTAAAGCCCGGCTTCAATACGTCTTATCCACAGGAAGTGCACCTCTGTGTGTGTGTCAAGGAAAAATGCTGCCTGCCACAGAAAAATAAAGCTGTTTGCTTCACCTCAGAAACTCTGTCCTGACACACACACACACACACACACACACACACACACACACACACACACACACACACACACACACACACACACACACACACGCACACACACACACACAGAATCAGAGGTTACTTCAGGTCACTGCATGTTGGAGGTGTTGCAAGCCTTCTGCAACGTCGCCCAACCATTATGAGCTTTAGTGGCTTAAAGGGAATAATGCCACATCAGCTATGTATGTAGAAATGTTGATGGTATGTACTGTGGGTAAATGGTTTATATCAGGTCCAATTACATCTGTAATAATAATGTTTTTATAGAAATTATATATATTCACCTTATATAGCCCCGCCCTGCTTTGCCTGGTTCTAACTCTTATGTGTTAGTTCTTCTGGTTTAGCGTTAGCACTATTGTAAAGAATACATTTTCTGACATTTACAGATACACTGCAGTGATCACATGGGTTTTACAGCACCCATCCTCTGTTAGTGAGTGCAGGATGAATATGTCAATGGCCCAAAAGTTAGCTATCGCCAAGATGGTGGTAATTTAAATCAGAATTATTATTTACAGTTCTGACCCGTGTCTACCGTTCGGGAGTGAGAGTCATTCTCCAAACATTGTTTATGTTTTTTTAAGCAGGCCGGGCTCTCTCATACAGCCAGCAGCACCTCATAGCTCCAAACATCGCTGTCAATTCTCAAACTAATGTTATTGGATAAAGTAATCACATATTGCTAATCTAAATGGTTAGTTTCTTGCACACAAAAACGGTAATATCTTAATAACGGTTCATTTAAAAGCTAAAAAACGGTTTATTTGGCAAGTAAAGATTGATAAAACTGACAGCGCTATGCAACAGTAATAGCAATGACGCTTAAACTGGATATACCAACACATAAAAGACATTGTGAAAGTGCCCTAAAGCTGGTGAAGCATACGCTGAATGAAGTCTGTTCTCTCTGTGTTGCAGGGATATGAAGGCTCCTTGATAAAACTCACATCTAAACAGGTATGTACAGATGCACGTCACACCTTCCTCTGTGCTTCACACCTCCTCTTCCTCCCCTGTGTGTGTTTCTGTTGGGGCGATGACGGATTAGCACCTCTGTCAGGAAGTATCTTGGTGATGGTTGAGCTGTTGCAGTGACTTGCCCGTGGCGGTGGAGAGTCTGCTTGCAGTCACACACTGGACCCCGGTGGGATGGATCGGGGGGGAAGTGTCAGCAGCAGAGACAACTCTGCCTGGGGGGTGGGTGGGGGACTGAAAATGAGCTGGGCTGGCAGGTGTCAGTGATCAGGAGCACATTACACTGTTTCCATACAGCTCGTTACGAGGGTTTAGAGCGATTACAGAGTGCCGAGAGTAATACCACAAATCTAAGAACAAAGGACCCAACCCCGCTGCATTATGGGACTTCTTTCCTTGTGCATGCATGCTGTCAAAGACTTTCAGGAGGCAATTAGCACCCATGATAATTAGCAGAGTTAATATATTTCTGCTTAAAATAGAGGGTATCCCAACTAACACCCCCTGAACGTCTTGATGCTTGACTTTTCACCCTGCTGCAGTGATGTCACAGTGATGTCACAGTAATGTCACAGTGATGTCACAGTGATGTCACAGTGATGTCACTGTGTACCGCAGTGCACCGTGTTGTCACTACTCTCAGTCAAATCCACTCCCTGAAGCAGGCGATGTTCTCAGGGTTCACTTTAAGTTGTTCCTGTTAAATTAATAAGCATTCCTTCATAATGGCCGCCTTCCTCCTGACAGATGTGCGCTTTGTTTTTTCTTTCAAAAAAGTTTCTGTAAATCAATCAATCGTCTCCCGGTCCCTGAGCAGTCGTCTCCATATATAGCCCGATCCCAGACCTTTCTATTTATATTCCTCTTACGCTGCCTCCTCCTCCTCCTCCTCCTCCTCCTCCTCCTCCTCCTCCTCCTCCTCCTCCTCCTCCTCCTCACGTATTTTTCCATTTTCTATCTCCTTTCCTCCTCCTCCTCCTCCTCCTCCTCCCCCTCAAGATCACACGGACCAGCAGCAGAGCCTCATGGGAGCAACATGTTTAGAGATTTCACACACACACACACACACACACACACACACACACACACACACACACACACACACACACACACACACACACACACACACATACACACACACACCCTGCAGTCTTTTTTAAAAATCTTCAGCAGTTAGAGATGTGACATGAGTCTCTTATAGGCTCCACATTCATATTAAATATATTAATAACACAGATTTTTTATTTTCACCTTTAAACCCTTCTTTATGCTCTTTCTTGGGCCCCCTCTGTTTGCCTCTAAATGCCCGTATTTGGGCATAGTTCAGCTGGATTCAGCAGCGTTCAGTTATTATGCTCCAAATATCTGGAACAAACTCCCAGAAACCTGCAGGTCCGCTGCAACTCTGAATACTTTTAAATCCAGGCTGAAGACTTTTCTTTTTGTCGCTGCTTTTAATTGAATTATTCATATCTTAAACTGCACTGTAACTTTTATCCATGTATTTTTTCTTTTAATGTTTATTTTATTAGCTTTTCTTTTTAATGACTGATTTTAAATGCCCTTTTCTTAATGTCTTTCATTTTTTGTAAAGCACTTTGAATTGCCTTGTGTTGAAAAGTGCTATATAAATAAACTTGCCTTGCCTTGCCTTGCCTTGCCTTGCCTTGCCTTGCCTTGCCTTGCCTTGCCTTGCCTTGCCTTGCCTTGGATGATGAAGGGTGCTGGACAAAGTGAGCGTCCAGCCTTCCTCTCTTTATAAACAGACCAGAGAGAGGGGGGGGGTGTGTGTGTGTGTGTGTGTGTGTGTGTGTGTGTGTGTGTGTGTGTGTGTGTGTGTGTGTGTGTGTGTGTGTGTGTGTGTGTGTGTGTGTGTGTGTGTGTGTGTGTGTGTGTGTGTGTGTGTGTGTGTGTGTGTGTGTGTGTGTGTGTGTGTGTGTGTGTGTGTGTGTGTGTGTGTGTGTGTGTGTGTGTGTGTGTGTGTGTGTGTGTGTGTGTGTGTGTGTGTGTGTGTGTGTGTGTGTGTGTGTGATACAAATAATAAAACCATGTCTCTGTCACTCAGACAGAAGTGCCGACTCAGTTTTTGCCTAAACCGTGTTTCTGTCTCTCCCCAGCCGGTAGGCTTTGTCAGCTTTGACAGCAGATCAGAGGCCGAGGCAGCGAAGAACGCCCTGAACGTAAGTCGTGCCCTCACATCTCTCTGTGCACATGCATTAAACAGGAGGAGACACTCACACACCACCCATCACAAGCAGAAAGAAAGACGTTTCTGTTGGAGTAAACAAAGAAACATGCTGCAAGGTCAACATCAGCTCATTTAACCACCACATATTGATCCAGGGTTTAATTTTAAGCTCTCTTATTGCAGAAAGTGGCCTTGATGAGGCAGGATATGAAATATTCTCTGTCTTTCTGTTATTTTCCCATTGTGTTATTTAAGGTGTACAGATATGTTCTCATATTCTTAAGCCTGTGAAACAGTTTCTCATCCTGCTAAAGTGTGACTGTCAGATCTGGAGATATCAAAGGCAGGACAGAAAGAAAAGATAAATGATGTTCCAACAATAGAGCGTCTGTTTCAGTCACTGAGAGGGGTTGGGAGCTGAACGCCTCGTGTTTTTCAGGGAAAGCTGCGTCCCCTGGGTCGTATATATGGAGATAAGCTAGATTCTGCATCTGCATATTGAAATATGGGAAATAAAACTGAAGGAAGGGGGGGGGGGTGCAGCAGAACTCTGTGAGGTGGAGACCGGACTCATTATCTCCTCAAAACTTATTACACCTCTGCAGCAGCACTGAGGCGCTGAGCCAGGGCAATCCCACTTAATACCCCCCCCCCACACACATGAGGAGTTTCAGCTCAGTATATACCACCCTACACGATGGGGTGTAGGGGGGTATTTACTTGTTTCAGCACAGTAAATACCCCCCCAGGTGAGGAGTTCTCTCCTCAGATCTGCCCTCCTTATGGACCGTCAGACAAGCTTCCTGCAGACAGACGGCCACTCTGTGTTTTGATGAGGAAGATTTCTGTTAATGTTCCTTTATCTCCTCAGGCAACAGGCACTGAGAGTTTTAAAGTATTGCACACTGAAAGAGAAATAAACCTTTCCTCCACTCATCATGAGCTGAGTGTTTCAGGAGTAGTGTCGCCATCTCAATAATTTGACAACATTTTGTGCTCTTTTTAAGCTGGGATGCTTCCAATGTGTCATGGCCAGTGGTGAATATGTTACAGAAATGGAAAAGTATAACAAATGTTCCAGATATTAGCCAGGTCCCACTGGGCATCTACACAACACAACAAGTCTTAGCAGCAGCAGGAAGACATGCATGATCACTACATGAATCTGCCTTTCTGCACTGCAGCGATGCATTCAGTGATTCATTGTGTTGCTGTTACTAATGTGTGATGTCTGCAGCTTCATCATGTGCTCAACACTCCTCCAAAAATGGGGAAATTCCAGAAGACATGCAAAATGTCTTCTGGAACAAACTCGTCTTATGTTCACTGGGAACAATAGCCTATGTTGTGACGCCTTGCAGGAATTATTCAAACAATCAGAAATCTGTAAATAATATGAAACATCCATCCTCTGTTAGTGACTGCAGGATGACATATGACAATAGCCCAAAATCTCAGGACATTTTTAATAGTGTCTTGTGGTGTAGCTAGCCCATTCTATCAGGAGCTACGAAAAGTACCAAAACATATCTGTTGATCAGACTGCATACTAAAGCTCATATGGACAGTTTATAATAACTCTCACTGCAAGAAGGGAAGACAACGGTCCAAAGTTTTGACATTTATATAAAAAAAATCTAGAGATCCAACTCAAGTACCCTATCAGTGTGCTATTTAGCTAACAAACTTTAGCTAGCGAACTTTAGCTAGCAAACTTTAGCTAGCAAACTTTAGCTAGCGAATGTTAACTATCTGTCTTTCTAGTTAGCTAGCTTACATTAGCTACCCATCTAACAAGCTAACTAGCGAATGATAGCGATCCATCTAGTGAATGATAGCTATCCTGCAAGCTATTGCCAAATTGATGACTAGTCAATTCATAATTATTGTTTCTACTAATGTGATTCAGATCTCCTCCAACATGTACAACCACTGTTGTGTTCTTTTATTCCAGGAAAGACAAACAACTTCTAAGTTCAACTATTTATTAAAAGAGAGCAAAATATATATTTCACTTGGCCAATTAAGGACTCCGTCAGGTCATAGAAATCACAGGCAGCAGAGCTGTAATCTACTCTACAGTGTCTGCACCTGGTCTTTGCATCATTTCTAAGCAGCTAAACTTTCTTCTATGACTTTTCCCTTCGTTTCGTATCCAACCCATCAGAACTTGGGATTGGTGATTGTGTCTATTTATTCCAAAGTCATAGCAACATCTCATGAGCACAATGAACATATAATGTAATAATAAGAATCACTCTTATAATGTTGTAGACTCCACACCGCCCACGCTCCCCTACAATGCTACACCCTCCCATCATGCTATAAATAATCCCAACTAGTAGTTTCTTTGTGATCCTGATCTTAAAACATGATGCAATGATCCACGAGTGTTTATTATACTTGAGATTGTTGTTCTCTGAGGATAAACGGATGTATAAAGCTACCGCTGTATGTTGACAGGGGGTCCGGTTCGATCCAGAGATCCCTCAGACCCTCCGGCTGGAGTTCGCCAAGGCCAACACCAAGATGGCCAAGAACAAGCTGGTGGGCACTCCCAACCCCCTCCCCTCCCAGCAGAGCCCCGGGCCCCAGTTCATCAGCAGAGACCCCTGTGAGTATACCCAAGTGTGTGTGTGTGTGTGTGTGTGTTCCTCACTGAACACACTGATCTGAGTGCTCTCTGTGCTGATGGTTAACTGGATGTGATGAATGATTGATCAGCTGTTGACCTCTCATTATTAGAGCTGCAGGCCAGTATTTGTGCTCTGCTCTCTTTAGTTAAATATCTCTCTGAGGTCAGGGACTGTGTGTTGATAGTTGAACATGCTGAACACAGGCCAGCTGTGGTGGTACATTCCTCCTCCATGACCACCGCTCTTATCTGGGAGAAAGGGTGTGTAAGGAAAGGATTAATGAAGCCATGACGTAACCACTGGGAGAGTTTCTGTTGTTCCTGATAAGAGATGTTTAAATATCAGCCAGGTTTCTGACACTGAAAGCAGGAGGGTCTCTTAACTCTGTACCACTCTGCACTGTCACCTCGCTGCTCCTTCTTTACTCGCTTCAATAAGTCAATCATCACATCAGACTATTCCTCTCAGTTTCCCCTGAATAACATCAGCTTCACTGGGTTTAGGGGGAAATCATCCACTGTCTGAGATCCCTGCCCCCACTCAGTCAGTGTTTCTACGCCTCAAAGGTGTCCCTGCTCACACGAGACACTTTACAATAACAACAGAAACACGTTTTCCTCTCCAGACACAGAGGGACAACTGATACAACTTAACGACAGTTCATTCTAAAGCTTACAAAAGGTTGCTTTGGTAATTAAAGTATGATAAAGCTGGCGTTGCTATGCAAAGTAACAGCAATTCATCTTTAATAGGAAGTACCAACACATAGTACGGCAATGTGGAAGCACCCTAGAGCTGATGAAGCTTACGGAGAATAAATTGTCGCAATATTGGCGGTATAACAAAAAAAACAGTGTCAGATTCAGCGTACCATTCCTGGTAGCCTCGCTTATGTTTTGAATGTTTTCACTTTCAGCTACATGATGCTAACTCGCATATCTGAGTTTAATCAAATGGAACAGAAAGCGCTGAATAACCTGTACCCCCCCACTGCACTGAATTCTCTCTGACCTGCTAGGCGTCAGTAGCGAGGGGAAGCTGTAGTGCACCTCCACCCTCCCCTTCCTCCCCCTCCTCCCCCTCCTCACCCTCCTCTTCTCTCTCCACAGATGAGCTCACAGTGCCCGGTCTCTATCCCAGCAGCCCTGATGTGTGGGCGTCATACCCGCTGTACCCGGCGGAGCTGTCCCAGGCACTGCCACCCGCTTTCACCTACCCCTCCTCGCTGCACGCTCAGGTAACCTGCACCACCCCCTCCCCTCCCCCTCCACCACCTCTATCACAGCTGCTGCCTCTGACACACCAGCCAGAGGGGTTGATGACCACCAAATGCTGACTATGACTCTCACGGTGTCACTGTATTTAGCCGATCACAGCCTCATGCACACATCTGAGTGTTTGCATCGTGGTTGGCCCCCTCCACTTTCTTAATTATCATGGTTTGCCCCCTTCTCTTGGTTGATTAAAGCCTCTGTTCTCCGGTTATCGAGGCCTCTAATCTGCAGCGTTCCTCTGTGAGTTCATACCTCAGTTCATTATCGATCGGTGAGTTTCTTCTCATGGAGCCTGACCCTGATGAGTTCTTATTTCTGCTTTGTTCCAGAATCTGGGTTACAGTAACGTCTTTCATCTCTGCGGAGAACATCTCCACATAAATAAAATGCAGAGACTCAGATTATCTAAGAGGAATGGCCCAGAGCAGAGAGACTACAGCAGAAGCTCACATGATGTCAGAATATGATATGAAAGAGAGATGAATCTGCTGAGCTGGCATCACACACACACACACACACACACACACACACACACACACACACACACACACACACACACACACACACCACACACACACACACACACACACACACACACACACACACACACACACTAAAAACTAAGGACTAAAATCATCTAAAAGGAAAAAGCTTTCTAACCTTAAGGAATATTTTTGGCAAACACATGTATTCATTTATTTCTGAAAGTTAGATAACGCATCCATACTGTACCACATATCTGTACCATGATCTGTACAGAATAATCTGCAGCTAACGGCAGATGGCCAACTTTACCATAAAACTGAAAATGGAGGGAAAGAGCTAGCCTTGTCAAATTAAGTATGCTGTTTAAATTACAGATATGTACAGGGACTGTATGTGGAGTTTGTCGTTGTGCTAAGCGTAGCAAACAGCCCATTCCCCTTTTTTGATTAAAAGAGCCGCTTTTGTAATGTTAATGAATAGTAAGCAGCCGTTAGCTTAGCCTAGCATTAAGACTGGAAATGGGGGGAAAAAGCTAGCCCTTCATTGAGTGCCGTCAAGTGGAAAAGCTAAACTAAGCTAACAGCAGATTTTCCTTATGGATTAAAAAACAAACTTTTGTAATGTTGAATGAAAGTGTGTTAATATAAACTGCATTTAACTAAATGTATCTCTGTGTTTAGATACGCTGGCTCCCTCCTGCAGATGGAAGTCCTCAGGGATGGAAGTCCAGGCAGTTCTGCTGAAGTATGTGTGAGTACCACACGCACACGCACACACACACACACACACACACACACACACACACACACACACACACACACACACACACACACACACACACACACACACACACACACACACACACATACATACACACACACACACACACACACACACAGAGAGTACAGTGTGGTTTAAACAGTTGCAGAGATGTGTGGATAGGTGAGGATTATCTGGGGGGTTACTGAGGCTCCTCTCCCCTCTCTCATGAGAAACTTGTTGCAGCTGCCTTCAGTCTCTGCTGCTAATCAGTCACGTTTCTACTGCTGGACTTCAAACACACACTCCTAACACTCCAGCCTTTGAGATGAAGAGGTGGGAGTGTAAAGCCACATCATCATGAGACATGAAAGATGCAATTTAGAGGGGACTCGGGTACAGAGACCCCTCCACCCATCAAAAAGCAGTCAAACAGAATATATCTTGTGGTTATAAGAGTTCAGCTACCATAATTCAAAGGCTAATATCAGGCATTATTACATGTTGGTGCTGCTGTATTTCATCATGCAAGAACTCATAATATCACCTTCTGATAACCTGCAGATATCACACTGTGAGATCTAACTCACTCTCCCCTCCACATACTCTAAACTCTGTCAAAACATATTCTGCTCGCTAGCATGCATGCAGGATAAAAAAACAAATAAGGAGCTTAAAGAGCCTAAAACACTACGTAGAGCTGAGGGTGATGGTAAGATATGTATTTGTTATTTCACTAGCAAGGACTATGCCAAAACGGGATGAAGGAAGGGATGTACGAAGGGATGAAGGATCCAGTGGATGTAGGGAGGGATGAAGGGTTGTAGGAAGGGATGAAGGGTCCAGTGGATATAGGGAGGGATGAAGGGATGTAGGAAGGGATGAAGGGTCCAGTGGATGTAGGGAGGGATGAAGGGATGTAGGAAGGGATGAAGGGATGAAGGGATGTAGGAAGGAATGAATGGATGAAGGGTCCAGTGCATGTAGGGAGGAGGGATGAAGGGATGTTGGAGGGGATGAAGGATCCAGTGGATGTAGGGAGGAGGAATGAAGGGATGTAGGGAGGGATGAAGGGGTGTAGGAAGGGATGAAGGGTCCAGTGGATGTAGGGAGGGATCAAGGGGTGTGGGAAGGGATGAAGGGAGGGATGAAGGGGTGTAGGAAGGGATGAAGGGTCCAGTGGATGTAGGGAGGGATGAAGGGGTGTAGGAAGGGATGACGGGTCCAGTGGATGTAGGAAGGGATGAAGGTCCACTTGATTGGATCAAGGAATGTAGGAAGGGAGGGATTGGTGAAGGGATGTAGGGGTCTAGGGAGGGGATGATGGGCCCAAGGGATGTAAGAAGGGAGGGATGAATGGATGTAGGGAGGGTTGAAGGATGCGATGAATGTATGGAGGATATGTACGGAGGGATGAGGAGATTAAGGGAGGGATTAATGGATATAGCAAGGGATGTAGGGTTGTACAGCGGTAATTAATTCATGTAGGGGAAAAGAGAGGGTGGTGTGTGAATTTGGTCACAATCGGTTTTGGATGTGTTGACCAGTGTAAGTAACTCATCAGGTGATCAGAGGTGAGGTGGAGGCGTGGCACCGCTCTGAACCTTAGATAACTAATTCACTTTATTTAACTCAACATATTGATGAGTGAGGCTTTAATTAAGGAAGCCTTCCTCCACTTCTAACTTCACTCTGACATGTAGTTCATCAGGTGTTCCTGCGTATCTGAAGGACATTGCCTCATATGTATTGCTGTCATTTACACAAAGATCCAGCTCTCCAGAGTCTGAGTGTTTATAAATATAAATGTTTTAATATTATTATGATACACTAACATTGCCATAAAAACCCTGAATATGGTCCTGGGATGCTGTTGGCACTGTGCAGCAGATATTAGGGTGTGTTTGTCACTTTGTCACCCGCTGTCAGGATGAAATACATTTTTTAATTTAAAGGCACGTTATGACACACACCGGAGGAGTGTAAAGGGAAGAGGAGGAGGAGGAGATCGTAAACGTGAAACCATGAGTCCGAGGGCCGCTCTGATGAATCTTTATTAAAAAATGATTAGCACGGGTTTATTTCAGATAAATTACACAGTTAATGTTACTGCAGACTCACGGTGATCAGATAATAAGAGGAGAGGAACGTGCACACACTGAACACTGACTGCTGCGTGTGTGTGTGTGTGTGTGTGTGTGTGTGTGTGTGTGTGTTTGTTTGTTTGTCGGCGCCAGTCACCCTGTCCCCGGTCCTCCTCCCTCTACTCCCGGGAGTCGGGACAGGAAGCAACATGTTGTGCCCCCCCCTCAGGGAGGCTAACACACTCAGGCTGCTGCTTCAGACTTCTACATGAAGACACACACACACACACACACACACACACACACACACACACACACACACACACACACACACACACACACACACACTGTGTGATCTGCTGTGTGGGGGGTTTCCTCTCTCTATCTGTCTGTCTGTCTGTGGGGGGGTACAAGAGGAAGTGAGGGGCTTTGGGGAAATAATTACTCCTCAATCTAACCAGCAGGAAGTAATCTGCCTGGTCAGTACTATAACAACAACATCCCGACTTCATAATAACGTATATACTCATGATGTGCACACACACTGACAGGTGCACCTCTCATGGTTTCCCTCCCTAACATTAAGGATGGTTAATATCTGAGAAGTGCATGCGTGTGCGTGTGTGTATGGACTAATGGTGAGATCACCTTACGTCCTATCAGAGTAGTTATTCATAAAGAGTTTTACAGCAGTGTCTCCACTCTGGCTCTTTAAAACATATTACATATTACATTATAAGATTGTATATTGGTATTGTATATTGGTATATCTTCAGGTCAGTCTTCTGTCTGTCTGTGTGTGAGTGAGTGTGTGTGTGTGTGTGTGTGTGTGTGTGTGTGTGTGTGTGTGTGTGTGTGTGTGTGTGTGTGTGTGTGTGTGTATAGCTCGATCAAACCTGACATTCATGCTCTGTCCACACACCACATCACTGTGGACATTAAAGCAGTGACCTGCAGGAGAGTAATCCAGATTTTCCATCTGACAACACATGGTGTGTGTGCGTGCGTGTGTTTACATCTGTGTGTGTGGCTTCCTGCCCTGAGGAGTTTTTTTCAGCCAATAGCCTGACAAACCAGTGGTTCCTGTGTAGCTTTGGACTAACTCCCACTGGAGAGCCGAGGGCCAGCTGGGGCCCCTCTAATAAGGAAGAGGGACTTATCCTACATGCATAAGCACACACACACAAGCACACACACACACACCACACACACACACACACACACACACACACACACACACACACACACACACACACACACACACACACACACACACACACACACACACACACACACACACACACACACTCATAGATGCAGCGTGGCCATGAGGCTGTCACTGCTCTGTGTGATATGTGAGGAACAGGGCGGATTAAAGCGCTTCACACTCAGGGACGCTCTGCAGAGACCACACTGTTTAACGTCCTCCATTATTGATTCACAGTACTTTATATTGAATCTTATATTTATAATTCCCACAGTTGTTATTAGTTTAAAGAGAGAGTTCTTCTCCCACACACTCCCCCCCCCCCCCCTGCAACGCCTCCATTGGACTCCTTAGTACTTCCGAAACATAGGGACATCACTATGGAAAACTTGTGCTGTAACACATTGTACTTGATAGGCTAAGAGGAGGGACATCGCTAAGTTGTTGACCAATCAGAGCAGACTGGGCTCTGGTTTCAGACAGATGGTGAAAAGAGGTGCTGCAGCACAGGCAGTATGAGTAAAATAAAAAGCTTTTTTACAGTGGCCCTGAAGTGCAAGACACCACAGCATTTCAGAAAACACCACAGCATTTCACATTGGACGGAAAGGGTATTACTTTAGGGAGAACACTTCTTGTTTGTAATTGGACAGAGCCAGCCAGAGAAGCACTGTCAAGAAATGACGCTTCGTGATTGGTCAGCACCCGACAGCGCAACATGTCTCAACGGTCCCAACCATGGACTGTGGTCCCAACACATCAGCCATTAGCTGTTAGCACACACTCAGAGCTCACAGTCACAGCTCCTCATATCTGTTCAGAAACTGGACAAAAGTTAAACATATACAAAACACAGACTTTCTATGTCATGGCGAATACAGTCGCTGCTTTATTTATGTCTGTATGACGTTGTTGTGAGTATGGACGGAGCAGCTACAGGTTAGTTTTCTGAAATGCTGTAGTGTTTTGTGAAATGCTGTGGTGTTTTTTTTTAATACTTTATTTTTAAGTTGTTAAGACATTACAAAGGAAACAACACATAACATACAACATACAGGTCACTGGGGTAATACATCATCAATATGTTCTCAGCAATTATTCTTGTCATATGGGAAAATCTCCCTCACAACGGGTTCACAACAAATCTGTGTGAAACATACAGTAGTAGCAAAGTTATGCAAGAATTATAGACTATTGTACCAAAAGGAGTAAAGCAAAAATAAAAGAATTATCTCAGGGTTATCTGAGCCCCCTCTTCATGTGCAAAACCCATTTGGACCAGTAATTGTCAAATGTTTCACTACAGAGTCTTAAGGCCCTGACACACCAGGCCGAAATTGGCCGTTTTCGTTAGTCGGACGACGAAGCGTCCCCTGTCGCCCAAACTCAATTTGGTGTGTCCCGCACCGTCGGCCGTGACACGCCTTATTCGGCCACAAGCAGTCGGACAAAGAAATCACTCTGATTGGCTCTTCAGCTAGCGAATCAGTGCATGAGAAGCGAAACGGTTGCTTGAGAATAGAGTGGCGAAGTCACGCCCATCTACTTCCGCCCCATGGGACCTTATTTCTGAAAAATTATGTATTGAAGTCAATGGAGAGAGAAAACGTATCTTTCGATCCCGTTTGAATTGTGCCACGAATTACACATATGATGTTTGTCAATCTTAAAAAATCATTTCCATGTCAAAAAAGTCACAT